CCTCCACGCCGTCGCACTCTCTAAACTAAATATTATAAGAAGGAAACCCTAGTATTTACTAAATACCCGTAAGATGGTAACTTGATTTAAGTTCCGCAACAGCAACCCAGTTTTGGGGGCACCCCAACTCATGTGGATTAGAGAGTATTGGTGGTCTGTATTGGGCTCCTCCTACTTATGGATGCAGGGAGACTAGTGACTACAGGACAAGCAACGAAAGGGACCATGCTGCAACATTTGAGACTACGGAAATTGTCCTCTATGGGAAGGATTCCGAATGGCAAGAACCAGACCTTAGACGGCTTTGAAACACAAAATCTTCTAAGGCCCCCGCATCCAGTCCATAGTCCGGCCCGTTACTGGAGGATACCTGAGCTTGTCGTAGCAGCTTGCCATAAGGGCTACGGGTTTGGGGTTTGGACTTAAGGTTCCGGGAAATGGGGACTACCCAGAAGTCCATCTACCTACAACTTTCGCGACATTTCGTGAAAGACTACAGGTAGAATACCTCCAAGTGCAATGGGCTTAAAAAATGGAGTCACACATAGGCTTCAGTGTAGCATCAGAGACTGTCATCTGCAAACATCTGGGCCTCCAAGATGTCTCATCTGAGGGAGATGCCTAATGTAGACCCCTGATTGATAAACCCCCTCCTTTAAAGCGCTTTATACGGTAATATAGGGAAGCCCATGATTAAGAAACCCCCTCCTTGAAAGGGCCTTAGCATTAGAATCCCTATTGTGATCCCTGTTGAGGGGGGGTCTGCGTGAGATTGCGGTTGGACTCGCAGGACGATTTAATTTGTGCCGATTCCACACCCAGCCCATCATTGAAGAACTTTGGTTGCTCGAGCAAGCTCTTTGCAGCTTACGTGCTTCCAAAGTCCTCTTATCAAGGCCCACCCAGAACCTCGACAACAAATCATTGGAGGTAGACTTCCGACGTCCTACGCAGTACATGTTTTGCGCAGGCTTCTAGACGGTGCGAGTTGATGTGTGAAGGTTCCTTGTTCAGAAGGCTGAATCGAAGGAGCAGGCTGCTCAGCCAAGGAATAAAGCAAGCGAGATTAAAGAATCCAAGTTGTCTGCCTGTTATCCCGCCACTGGCTTGCTGTCAAGGAGCTTAAATTGGGTACTGCCCCCACCGAGTAACAGTCTATATTAGGGGTCCTATTAAGGGCTTTATATAACCATATTATATTCATTATCCAACTGTTACTGAGTGCGGGCAGTATCCAAAGCTTAAATAAAGTTACCATATTCTGGATACAGAGTAAATAATAGGGCTTCCTTCTCATAATATCTAATTTCCCTTAACAGCAACCAAGCAATAAGTAGCCCAGCCAAGCCACCCTGCCGCATTGAAGAACACGCGTGAGCAGGAGAGCGCCCCGCAGGGCAGGAGGGCCAGCAATGA